GACACTGGTATCCGACACCTTTGACCTCTTGGTGCACGCCCATAGTTTCTCGAACAATGTAGGTTGAAGTTGGTTTCATCAATCCAGATAATCTCATGTTCAAGTGCCTCGTACCATTGCAGGTGTGTGTGTGCGGTGACATTTGACGGCGAAAACACCAATCATCTTGTCGGGGTATCTAATGGAGTGCGATTGGTTGGATTCACTTGAAGTTATGGTGGATTCACTTGAAGTTACAACGGACTCACTTGAAGTTGAAAAGGTATAGAAATTGGGGCACAAACCAATAATGAAGTTCATTCAGTGCTATCCTCGGGAGGATGATAACTGTCTCAACTGGGGTATGGCCAACCACCCAGTAAACCATCAGTACACTTGCATGGAATTAGGTCACATTAGATGGGAATATCACGTATGTGTACAGGAAAAACATACAAAACGATCAGATCAATACCCCCCCGTCCCCCAAAAATAGAACCAGGATCGATATAGATGGAAGAATACTCTCTGGCACTAAATGAAGTACGCTGATTCCTAAGGGAGAATGATTCAATTAAAATATTCAAAACTCCAACTGTCAGACCACATTCAGAAAGACGTCCACAAAGCACTCTTCGCTGACGAGGACCAGAGGGGACAGCATAATCAAGAAAAATCAATCGAACTGCACCTACAACTTTGCATAAGATGGATGCAACTAAATGCACAATGTGGTTGACGGCGTCAAGCGTGGACAGATGGGATCTGTATGCAAACAGTAAGCAATCATGCGAGTTAAAAAAGGGTATCATACAGTGCAGCAAAACATTTTCAAAAGCCTTCAGCAACACAGACGAGCAGAGAGTTGAATGGTAATTTGACGATCGTTTCTTTCGAACAGGCTTAATCTGTGTTGTATTGAAACAATCCGGAATTGTTTCGAATGGAAAAAAACATGTACTGAAAAATTCTGCAATAGGTGTTGCAAACTAATCGGCAAATGTTTTTAACAAATAGGGTTCTAATAGATCAGGACCGGGTGGTGTTTTGACGTGGAATCCGCTTAAGACTTGAAGAACCTTGTCCGGAGAGACTGAATTAGTTGCACCATGGATTGGAAAATGTAGAAGGGAGCTTGGAGCAGATGCGGCAGCGAATTATTGATTTAGTTCCTCAAGTTTGAGAGAAATGCTACCGCGTGATTCACAGAGGTTCCGTAATTTAGACCACATCTAACAGTAGCTTTTGTTGCCCAAGACGATCTTAATGTACGTTCCATTCATGGGTCTTTTGGGGGCTCTAATCAGAACAGATTGGTCCTTTGCACTGTTGAGCCTAGCGGTCATGTAGGCCATCTCTGATGTTTCTTGTCAAAAATGCTGTTGGGTGCAGAAAGCTTATCTTATCTGCAGTTAACCGGCATTTCTGTAAGCAAAATGTTCTTTTTCATCTCTTCGCTGCCCCTCTTGCAACGGACTCCGTTTTTGATCGAAACTTGCTTAAGTTCAAATTCAAATAGGGAAGAAAGCACAAACATTCATGAACATGGTGATTTGATCATCAGTTTTTTCATATGTGACAGTTTGTTAAAGTAGTCACATAAATCATTTTCTAAGATTTGTCCGATATGCGCACATCTACCTATGGCGTGTATGCAAAACCTGGACCATTTTGATTGCATATGCCTATCGTATTACGTTTGTGGCAATTCTGCGAAAACTCATGTTAACGAGTCGATACATTTTGTCTAAGATTCCTTTCGGTAATGAACGTGAGATAAGGGTACATAGAATGTCAGTGAGTCTGTCATGTAAGGCAGTTGAACACAAAACCGGCGATGGAACGGTTCGGGATGCTTTTGTTAGTCTGCGTTTGGCCCTAATGTCTGAGGGTTGAACCTCCTCACTGGTATTAAGCTCAATACCGTACCTATCCTAGTTTTGTCTGATGTGGTTCAGTTTCCAGTCCCTGGGATTTGGTTGTTACCCATCATGATTGAACAGTAGCTTGCCACTTCTATTGCTCAGTCCGAAAAAATAAAAGTTGAAACTACGGACGGAAAAATAGATTACGAAAGATTCCTCTCCTACCGTAGGGATCAGTGTTACTTTCCATCGGTAGCACACCGTGCCTCAAAAGCACCTGCCATTGGTCTCATTTTATATGCTAAGGAAAGATAGTATTATATCGACCAAAAAAGGTCATTCCATGTAGCATGACCTTTGGATAAGAAATTGACGTATCTCAAAACCGGACTATACATCACCCTCGAAGGAACACTGTGAGGTGTTGTTGTTATACGCCTCAATCACACAGACTGTGAACAGAAATGCTGACTTGTGCATATGCAGTCATGTTCGATCGTAACCCAATCCTCTGCGGATTGTTTGGAATTTCTAAAGTCGATAAGCCGGATCATGGATCGATGGCAATTCGTTTGTATTTATGGCACTTGTGTCTGACATTCTCTCACACATTCTACCTGGGGTCATTTCTCATCTGTTCGGCACAGATTCTTTGTGCTCAACTTTTAAAAGACTAGTGACGTTCAGGATTCTCTTTGTTATGCCAATCGTGTCGTCGTCACGATTAATTAGTAGTGGAATATTTTCTCTATTAAATTCAATTCATGCCAAGCATAGCGCATCAGCACATATGTGAATACTTTACTGATAAGTCACCCCAATGAAGCCTCGTTTCCTCAAAAATTAAATCCTTTGTGGGAATGTACATTAGGATTGCATAATTAGTGAGTGTGAGAAAAGAGCTGTCATGAACCAACCCACCTATAAGGATGTAAGTGATGGACGGACAAGAAGCTTTATCATGAAGTTCTTCAATTCAAATATCAACAGAAATAGGCACCGGCAATCATGAATACATAAGAGTGAAGATGTTGACAGATATCATTGTAACATGCTTTACACTGAAACCGGTGTGTGTACAGTCATTTTAAGCAATTGAGATAGACCGGTCAGCAACACGACCAACGCTTTCTCTTGAAATAAGGCTAAACTGAACAGAAAAGTGGTAGATAGAACTTACGGTCAGAGTTCATCAAGCCTATTTTTATAATGCGTCTGTGTGAATAAGGATCCTTCTCCATCAACGGAGAAAACGATGTTGGCGATGAGGGAATGGAAAAACTTAGGCGGCCCTGGATATTTGTTGATGTCTGGATTGTGCAACAAATTATGAGTCAGTTTCAGGTCCATCAACGGCAAGGGGCATCCAGAGGAATTTGCTGAATGCTTTCTGTGACGAACAGGACTAAAGTGTGATGGCTCCACGCAAGAAAACATCCCAACTGCACGAAACCATCCATAAAACTATCCGGAATTAAGAGGTTATTAACAAGTACGTAGTAAGTGGGAGGGGTGAATGGTCACAAAGTTCGAGAAAAATATTAGGACATCCGATTACTCTCCAACGGTGGCGGTGGTGGCCCGGTGGTAACATCACCAAATTATCACCCCGGGGATGTGTGTTCGAATCCCACCACCGCCTGACTTTCCCCATTGTGTGTTGAAACGGCAGCCCTTTGATTGGCGGCTTCCCCCTTCCTGAAAATTGTATCTTTGTATATTCAATAAAAGGAGGTAAAATAAAAAGATAAAAGAAGAAGAACGTGCCAGCATTCAAGCAAGATAAAGTCTACTGTTCTGATTCACCTAAAGGTTTGCAGTATATTTGTTCCTTATTTATAAAAATAATCTTCCAATAAAGTTTGCCGCGAAATGTTTAAGATTTCATTATTCAAGCCCAACCATGTTCATACCTAATCGGTTCCTGAGATATCAACCAAGAGTTGAGTTAACGCTAAAATAGCCGCGAATTTCGAACTCTTAGAACGGTCAACTAGTTCTTTTGACCTCTTCGGAATTGATCGGTTGCATTCTCCGACAACAGCACCTCATGCCATCCGGTTTTAAATAAGCTTTCTCGCGATTTTACCTATAAAATGAAACAGCCACGCCCAATCACGTAGTTTCAAACAATCGGATCTTAGGTTGCGAACATAACCACTTTGAATATGTATCCTGCGGGTGAATGAAAAACGGTATTCCTAAAGCTGACAGTCCCACTCGCAAATGCTAGAAACAGTGCACTGCATGCTTATCAATGGAGATGCCTCATCCCACACTCCATCAATGCAAGAGCTAGGCTTCACTCCCGAATAATTTCGAACAGAACAGAACCGAAGTGAATAATACTGTTCAGCCGTCGTACTCGAATGCTTCCGTTGACTGAATGGTGCGAATTATTTAACCACGGGTTGAAAATCGATCAAGCTAAACATGGATCCCTTTATTCATCTTACTGTCTGTGATTTATTCGGTGAATGGGTTTTTTAGGGAGTTAGTCGGTAAAACAAATTGTCTGTCGAACTGACTTACGGGCCTTACAATTATCACCCACTGACAACGTTAAAAACGCGCAACAGGTATGTCATGAAATGACTGAGTATCGGGTAGAGCTATTGAATGGCTTACTTTAGAAATGGCGCTCGTTTTTCTTGACTCAGCCAGTTGCTGTTTCAGTTCACGGATCACATCTGTCAGTTGCGTATTTCGTTTGCCCTCGTGATTTGCGTGCATAGTCGCCTGGCAGAGCTCGACTTCACGCATCTGTTTGTCCCGTTCGAGTAGTCTCGCCTCCAGACTAGACACAATAGTCACATACTGGGAGTTCTTTTTAAAACAGAAAAAACACAACAGTTCGAAGATGAAATGACCTTGGCATTAGCTCTAATTTGAGAGCCTAAGACATTTCTGCCATAGTAAAAGTTGTTGTATGCAAAACACTCAAAATTCTACTGAACAGTACTGTTCACAGTACAAGCTTGCTTGTATGCTCGTATGGAACGAAGGTCAGACACATTGACTCTTTTCCTTTGACGGTACATATCAGTGGGTCCAAAAATGAAAGGGAAACATTCTGTAATTGTAACAATGGCCCTCCTATCATTCCAATGTGGAAATCGACAACTTAAATGCTGGGACTAACCATGAAAGATGCCTTTCGTATGAGCTTGATACTTAACCGGACAGCCTAAGAACTGTCCGCCACTTGTTGTGAATAAAGTTGGTAGAGATTTGTTGTTCGATCGTGAGAACCAGTGCAGATCGCTGACGGTAAGTCAAACCTCTCAGGGTATTGCATGTAAGTGACCATCGGGAAATAAATTGGCCCCAGAATCATGCTGTTCAAAATATGTACACTTTATAGTACAAGAATTGAATGGATAACAAAAGTAAAATAAAACACCTCTGTTAAAACGATGAGAATGGTATGAAAACTCTTATATTTAATAAATAAACAAACCAGTCAATCAATAGGTCGGGTAACTGACCTCTTCCCGGAATTTGTCCGTTCGCGACTCTGCCAGTTCCAGTTTTTGACGTAGCTCCAAAATTTCCGTCTCCGTATGTGTCAGTGTTCGAGTGTTATTCACGAGACGTGCATTGTTGGTTTCCACTTCCCTTTTCATCATCTCCATGGCAGCTTCACGTTCATTTAGTCGACTTTGCAGATCATCCTTGAGACGAGACAGTTCCATCGCTTCAAACTGCGAATAAATCGTGTTTTGCCCAAAGTGTATTTGGTTTTGTAGGATAGCAAATTTATGATGCGAGAAACCAAGTATTTGTGGTATATGACGGACGAATCAATTTTACAGATAGTCAAATTTGCAAATAGTCATCATTCAGTAAATATTACATGTGATACTCCTAAGAGTAAAAATCCCAAGTGTAACTCAAACGGCACATTTTGTTACATTCACAAGTGAACTCTGATCATTTCAGAAGATACAAAAAGGTGTTTAGGATAACAAACCGCTCGTAAATGTACACCCTCATAACTGTCATCAGTTTATTAATGCCATAATTACCACGATCGAGGCTCAATTATTACGGGTTTTGTTTATAGCTGCATGGGAAACGGTGTTCTAAAGGGGGGTCTTTTGTTAACAGTGTTTATTATCCTCGGCCATTTAATGTATTCACTTTTAGTGGATATATGAAACGGTAAGCATATACCTTATGATTTATTTTAGGGCTTCTGATTGCAAAACAATGTATCGTTTTAGTTACATTTTAGATTTTTACTCCTAGGATTATCGCATGTTATACGGAAACACTGAAGCTGTACGAGGTGTGTCAGATTATTTGATAGTACGGTCACATCGCTTAAAACTTCTCCAATCAACATGTGTTGCAGCATGCAAACCCCATACCTTCTTATTTCCTAACCAAGCTTTGCAACAATAACATTTGCAGAAAATAATTTTTTCAGCATCTGTTGATTTCAGAGTTTTCCGATACTTTTTGATATGGCTCGTCTATTGCGGCGTGACTAAATTTTGTGCATCGAGGGTAAAGGACTATGGGTTTTGGCTAAAGCGTGATGGGAAAAGGTGTAGTCTTTCAAAGTTGAGGTTAAAGTACCCTAAGCGAATTAGATAGTTTGGTTTGCTCTCATTCGGCATTTAGAATAACATTGTTCTCCCGCCAAGCTATCACCGAACCTGGTCCCACGTTGCGCATCCCAACGATCCCAGTTAAAAGACATTCGCGATCAGTGCAAGTCTTATGTTTGTAGTTCCAGTCAAAGTGGATTGAACATGGGATAAACGTGCAGTATGGGTCTAATAACAGTCAGGTTATTTGTCCGGTATCGGGGTTACGAGGGCGGTAATAGAGATACTGCACAAACCAAGTTGTCCTTGTCTGTTCTTCACCCTGACGACTACTTATCCAGGACCCTCGCTAAAATGTCGACACGCTCTCGCAGTGGCAACTGATCCTGATACATTTGAAATTCAAACCACGAGAATTCTCAGGGGAAAGTTAGGTTTCCCCTGACAAAAATCTTATCATAAAGCAAATCTAATAGGCCTCCTGCGTTAGATTAGGGGAAATTAAGAAGTATCAGGAGGTCTGAACGAATGTGTTAATGTGTATGAAATTCTGATTCAACTTCAGTCACAACGCCAATGACCTTGTTCGTTGGGGGCTGCGTCTCGTAGAAACTAACCGGTATCGTCGAAAAACACCAGAAGTGTGCCTGAATAAAACAGTTTAGCGAACAATCTATTTTAGGCGATTCATCAACTAGTTAAAACATCACATATTGTGTAGGCATTGGTATGTGTGTGTCATTGGTATCAAAAAGGGCCGTCACTCTATAGTAGTATCCTTGATCTTCAATTTCACAAACTGTTCGTTGATGCAATGGGATGCAATCTTTTATCTAGATGATTCAACGCACATAAGTTGGGCATTCCATAAGATTTTTGTACACGTAAGTCATGTGGTTTGCGGTGACACAACAAAATACCTCGACTGGGTCAACCTTTTAGACGTTCTCAAATCCTGTNAATCCTGTGGCAATTTATCGCTGATGTCGACCAACGATTCGCGTTCACAATGTTAAACAGTTGAAATCCTTAGCACATACTAGGCATGTGTTCAGTTATTCTGGTGCCGAATTCTTGTCCGGTTTACTGTTGTATGATTCCTTGCAAACGGAAGAGAAGGCTCAAATGCAATGCGTGTTAAGATCAACAAAAACGTAATCCTGGTGAAAGTGGAACGTAATACAATGAAGACGTTTTAGCCTCACACAACACATAGCAGTCCTTTGAAAAGCGGCTTAGGCTCACTGTACTTTCTATTTCGCCTGTTCGCCGAGCATGGCAATTTGTTTGCAAACGTTTCATCACCAGCCGAGGTGACGTCATCAGTGTTGTACTTTCAACTACACAACTTGATTCCCTTTACAGGATAAAATAAGTTCCTTTTCGAACCGTATAATTCAAGGCTTAGGATTTCACTCACAATTGTTAGAACAAATAAATGATTCAGTGTATCTGTAGCTGCACTGGGCGAAAAACAATGGTATCTTCTCATCTAAAATGGGGTCTTCGATGCAGATTTTATTAACCCAAAAAAAAGTTGTTCGAACACTTTCCAATGTATGTTAAACAGATGAAATACCAGTGTCTGTCCAGACCAGCTCTGTTTTTGGTCAACATTCATATCTATTTATATCAGGCATGCTCAAACATTCGGGGATGCGCACAGATGGATGTTTATGGATAACGGATATTTATTTGTCAAAAACTGTGTATTGTGGGTTCCGTGTTGCTGATACTCCTGTTTGGGAACTAACAAGAATCATGTTGACATAAAGCCGAAAATAAAGTATTGCACTGTCCAGGTTAATCAAACGAAACCATTCGATAGTTTTACATTCGTTGTTGCGACACACTGATAAAGGATAACTTGTTACAACATAGAAAACTCACTTTCAACTGGTTGATAACCCCATCCTTATCGGACGAAACAGTATCTAACTCATTGACTCGTGCGCGCTCCGTTGCCAATTCCTGTTTTACTTTCTTCAGGAGTATGGTTTGATGTTGTATTTGTTCATTCAAGGTTTGGTTCAATTCCCGCAAGCTTCTAACTTCAGTCTGGAAACAAGACCACGTTTGGGAGGTTTACGATACACAAAATATTGCACTTGCTTCCAGAAATTATTGATTATTGCAGAGAGTGATTAGTGTTAGCAGGTATCATCACCCTTCAATAAGTGGAACTGATTCGTTCGATATCGAACTTGAATCATTCGAACTCCCTGTTATTTTTTTCAAGTTACAGCGAAAAGTGGAAACTCAAAGATAATTATTTTTACTCAGTACTTTACATGAGCAAAGTGACGATGAGCCCAAATTTACGGAAATTTCCTTTGCTGATTCACTCAAGGCTACTAAGAGTAATGGACAGGGACGAAGTTATTTTCCTATAATTACACAACCTCTGTACAGAACTGAGGGCTTGGTTATTGCAAGAATGACACGGGTAGAGAGTAAATCGGGTTTCATAGAACAAAACATGCTATCTAAAAACTCATTCATATCATGAACGCAAGATGACGTATGTAGGTAGAATTGATTTTGCCCATCAAATTTCACGTGCAGAGGAATGAACATGCAATGCTCCTAGACTACGGAACATTTTGCTCTATCACCCACACTAATCTGGAGCGAAAAAACTTGTGTTCCCTCTAACAGTATCTGTTCATTTCAGTGTACCTGCGGTCAGGGGGATACCGGAAGGACGGAATGTTGCCTGTCAGCCAGAATACGTGAACATGTCCCCAAACATCTTGGTCTTCGCGGAATGGTACTATCATCTAGTGCAGTTACACGGCCTTTTTTAGACCCCGGCTTCCAGGTAGACGCACCCAAAGTGTTTAAAGTCGTTGCGAGACTTTGAAGTTCACGGACTTTTGGGAGTTATAATTATTAATGGGTTAATAAATATGGAAGTAGAAGATCAACTCCACGGCAAGTGGGTTGATTTTATCAAAACGTTTTGTGCGCATAAGGTCGGGTGATATAATCGAAATGTTTTTGACACAATCAGTCCACTTTCCGAGGAGTTGACCTTCTACTTCTATATTTAGTAATCTTTGTATGTTTGTACATGTTCATTCACCATAATTGATTAACCCCATGTGCTATATATGTATCTGTTTGCTTTAAGTGAGCGACTAATAAGATTAAACGAAATTTTAACACCTCATGACATTTGTCTTCTTTTTTATTGATGAACTGGATAAAAGGGACTCAATGCTTCAAATTATTCGTAGCTTGAAACCGTATATATTTAAAAACATTTGCGACGCAACTGTTGTTGTCGTGGTAGTGATACTGTCACACTTGATTCCACCCTACCATAATGTGTGATATGAACTTTCCTTCCCCTTCGTCCACCACATTGTTTGAACCAACTCACTTCCATATCAAATCTTGTCATCTAACTTGATCTTAGTCCCTAATCAAACCTAAATCACGCAACTTACTTGTCCAGCAGCTTGTTCAAATGACTCATTTCAACTCCCATATTCCTTCGTTTGACATCGTTATATAAATATGCTGTTACGGTTGAATGAGCATTCGAAACCGATGGGCAATATCAATTCTGCCCACAAATGTATTCCTTTGTGGAGATCTTTATCAAATCCACCTAAGCTGAGTCTCCACAAACAGTAACTGATATAGCGCCAAAACACCAACATATTTCTATATGAAGCACTTAAACGTGCTCAAGAATAGCTTGTCATGAAGCTCGGTTACAAGAAATCATTCAGATTTACCACATCTGTAGAACGCGCATACTGTGTTTTCTAACCATTTCAAAAACCAATTATATCACGATTTTGTGAATCAAGAATTTATTTTGAATCCGAATCTTTAAAAGCTATTGTATTCTTCATTTATGTCATTGGTTATCTTCCGCTTACATCTTCACGAATGATAAACAAACCATTAAAACACCACTGTGTATTTTGAAGTCCTTATTCATAAAATTTCTATAAAATCGACCTTTTTGGTTTTTTACCTGGGGTGTTTATGATGCAACAGGTCCTTTTTCAGTGAAACCAAATAAAAGACAAAAACGAAAGTCAAAATAGCGATTAATGGATTGAACTGACGCTCTAGCAAAATATCACACAAGAAGGAATCCAAATTTTCATTGGTTAGTTGGCTCAGTTGTAACTAATGAGCTCTCATTGTGATCGCGCTGTTTACGGTTTCCGTTTGATCGCCTGTATTATAATATCTAATGCATTTGTCAGTTTCTACCTGCCTTTCCCAGTCACAAGGTCTGTAAGATAATTACAATTGAAAATTCTATTGGAAATGTATTACATCAGCCTGGTGACTGTGAATCCTAAAGCGTTTTTCCTATAAAAGTGCAGTTTTTAAGCTCAGTTGTTGTAGAAATTATAGTTTGAGTAAAAGTATTCTTTTCCATTGTTATTCAGAAACAGGTGCCATAAAAACAACAGTGCAAAAAGGGTGTGGAACTTTTACTTGACCGGACATCTCCGGGGTTATTGATCATCTGTTATCCCCATATCTGTTAACTCCAATCGAAAGTCTCCTACTAAATCAGGTCTTCCACAAACTTACTAGGCCGGATTGAAAATTTGCATTTAATTCACAGTTACTTATGAGTGGGATAATTGATACTGCGTTGAACGGAGAATTTTGCATGAAGGTGAAATTCAAAGGATAGTCAGTTCAAATTAATATCAATTATCCCACACTACTCCTCATTAGGAAGTGTGAATTAAATTTAAATGATTATTATCTGTTGTACACATGTACGTTGTTGGAAAAAGTAATTTCAGATATGTTTGCTCAAACCCAGTGCTGTTTGCAGTTGATGCAATGCTTTCTTCATCGGATCCGTTGCTTTCATTTTGTTTACCAAAGTGCTGTATCCCAACCGACATTATTTCTGAAACTGATGTAAAATTAACAGCCATCTGCTGCTGAAACAATTGTATCCTTTTACCTGTCTCCACGTCTACCAGTGTGCTCAACTGGGTTTCTCTTCTCACTTTCGTTGTGGTATCCTAGAGAGTCACATGAATTTAATATTATTTTATTCAATCGAAGTTATTATTGTTTGATATCATAAGACGCAAACATCGTTCTAGATTTTGTAAAGGAAGAGAGAGTTTCGATCGAAGGGATTTTAGCCCGAGCGAGCTATTGTTAATCCTTGACTCGAGTGAATTTACTACTACTATGTTGCAGACTCTATCAACGCGGCTGAAATACGTCATCGAATTCCGGTCCCAGCGATTCAAATACCAAAATCATCATGATCTAGCTGTCTCGAAGTGGTCTAAGGTTCCAAACCAACCCAGAGGAGGGGTACGAGCCAGACACACCCACAGCNTTGTTGTGGCAGTTGTCACCTCCAACTGGGGTATCGAGATGTAATGGGCACCTCTTGGACGCTTGACCCTTTTCGACGGGTGTGTGATATGATGCACTGGATACCGGCCCCCAATGAACGATAGTCTTCACACACCGCCCCACCCCCTATCTTACGCGTCAGATGTTGGTAAGCCAAAGTCTGGGGTTGTGAATTCTTCAAGATTCACCTGCCCTGGCATGGGCAGCGTGGCGGTCTCTCGCCCACAAGCAAATCGTCGAACATTTCACTTTTTTATTAGGATCATTGTACTGTGATTTGTTTGACACAGCACAGACTCGGAAATATGTAAAAGATAGACAAATATACCGAATAATCTATATTTAATTCTAGGGTAAATCCAAGTAACTGTGAATTAGCACTCTTCAACGGATAATCAAAACGACAGAGTAAAGACAAGAGCCGGACTAAAAGTACTAAGTGCTAAGTGCTAAGTTTTGCATTACCATCAAGCACAATCAAATACATAAATACGAATTTCAGGCACTCCTAAAAAATCTCAAAAGGGAGTAAAAATGAATTCACCCCACACTCGTTCAGTAGCACTACTCGCCTCCATGCGTCCGCGAGAATTGTCCTCCATGTACTGCCTTGAAGCGACCTCCTCGAGGGCGGACTGGGTCTGTATCAGATCAGAGCGCATAGCCACACTGCGTTCCTGGGTGGCTGACAGTTCTTGCTCCAATTCCGAACAGTAAGATTTGATCTGGGTAATCTCATGTTCCATACGCTGTATGATTGATTCCCGTACGGCACGCTTGGTTGAACGAACGGGAAAAAGTAGTTTATGGAACAAGTTGGAACATTTAAAAGAAAATCAGGGCGTTTTAAAAACAAATGAGCTGAGTAAGATTCACTGCGTTTAAGGTCTACGACGAACGGAGTTCCATGCCTTCATAGAGCGGTACGTTTACCCGCCCTACACCAGGTGATTTATTCTATCGAAACCATTGCCGATCAGAAAACTCAACTGTGGTTCATCTGCACTTCAATCCAAGGAAAAAGGATCAGACAGCAAGCGAACTCACCAATCACAAATCCATTCGCGGCCACCCACCCTCCTCCCAAATCATGAATCGTTTATGCATCTGGCGAAGATAAGTCAACTTTTTTGCCAAAGTTAAAGTTTCATTATGGGAATTGCTTACAAGCTCATGCTTTTCTTATCCCCGTAGGATATCTACGCAGCTGAATTGTTTCTCGGTAAAAAAAATGATAAAATGTCACATAGTTTTCAGGGTAGGAAATAACAGATAATGTAGTCTTCATCTAAATTGTGTTTTTAGTCGTGTAGGATTGTGATATAAGCCAGAGTCTCGTCAAGTTTCCTCTTGAAATGTTTAACAGTTGGTGCACAAGCGACTGGAGACCACTCACTAGTCGGTAAAAGCAAGATGGGTGTATCACAGGATGTCAAACAGAATTTTGTCTGATTGGTTACGTCAATTCTGGATTTTCACGAAATATGAGAAGAAATCAAGCTAGAAGAAAGTATTACAATTGTACCGCAAAACATTCCAATTGAGTAAACCAGGAAAGCCCATATGAGCATTATATAACCAAAAAACCGACTCATTCAACATCTAGGGGAGTTTTCAAAATGTGCTGATGCCACATTTCTGTGCTAAAGAGACCCCCTTGTATTTCATTTTACCGAATAGATACGTTTAATTCGTAGATGATTTATTTGTTACAAAATTGTACTTTCATTATATTAGATGTATACATATACATCGACGCTATTAGTGGTTGTTTATTCGTTCCCAACGGCTTAAGCTTCAGTTCTATACCTTTTCAATTTCAAGTGAATCCGTTGTAACTTCAAGTGAATCCAACCAAACGCACTCCATTAGAAACCCCGACAAGATGATTGGTGTTTCGGCCGTCAAATGACACCGATTGGACCGGGTCTGTCTAAACCCCCTCCAGTTCGAATGAACTAATTTCTCGGTAAACAAACAAAAGTACTTTTTGAATGATTTACCGATCGAGGATGACTGTTTCGGTGTGGTGAGGTGGGCCGTTCCCCCCCCCACACACATTCCACCCGGGAACGTCATGTTCGTGATCGTTGATCGGGTGTGCGTTATAGATACGAATGAATGAACCCAGAGTTAATTGACCCTTGTCGGTCGGGTAAGGAAGTGATTCATGTCAGTATGGATCGATAAATCGGTCACCGTGCCAAGAAGTGAATTTGAGCATGATTCTTTGCATGAGTGAAGTCAGTCTAAGCACTCAATAACCCAATGAGCAAATTCTATTGTGGCGGAGGTTCTCTCGAATACAACCGATTCTTTTGAATCAAATGCGATTGCTTAGGTATTTCCAACATTGAGATGCACACTTGACGAGATACTTAACAATGGTAATAATAATAATAATAACAATGGTAATAATAAAGAAGTAACAGTATTTCACCTAAATAGCAAGATCAAATTCGAACATATTCACTAGCTAACAGAAATCATATTTTTCTCTGTCATTCCTTGACTGATTAGTACATTCAATCCACAATGCCAATGGCAACAATCTGTTACCTGAGGCTTCTCCCTTCGCTAATTAGCTTCATCGCATTTATTGTATCTTTATTGTATCATTGCTCAACTCGTTGCATCTTTTCAAATACTGGTTACATTTGTGCGATCATTTATAATTTAGTGAATGTGACAGACGGTGATATGAATGAGTTACATTTATCCATGAACTCACAAGCGATGATAACTCTGTACTGTGTCGGTAAACCAATCTACCCACGGTTGTCGTAATACTGAATGTCGAATACGAGAAAAAGTTCAGTGGCACCGCGGATGCCACTTTGCAGTATGATGATGTGATGAAATTCAGGGTATTGCACAAGTTTCATCAATATCTGTATGATTGATGGAGTTTGTATCATCCAAATGTTCCAAGATCTCGACTCATCTAACGTCCAGTCGGGCGTTGTTTAAGTAAATCTACAATCATGTGCGTGATTCGGCTGGTGAAAATTTAAATATTCTCGCTGATCAGTTTTTCGAAAATGATTCCTATGTCTAAACCAATTCACTGCCGCCCACCCAAAAAAGTAATGTCAAATTCTCGGAATTTTCTCTGTTGATGATGCCGTTATTGAAAAAAAAAACGATTTTTACCAAGATCATTTCTGAGATCCGTCACCATGCCCAATTACCAAGTGACATCTATACTAAATACATTTTTAAGCACAATCCTTCTCCGGTACCATGCTGTAAAAAATGGTTGTTCGTCCAACTTGATGGAGTACGGTGCAGTCTGAATTGCGGACAGGATGCTGAATTCACTCTTTTTTATAATGAGGTAGTTATGACCAGAAATGTTTCCTCTGGAACAAGCCTTCGAACTCTGGCGTATTCACTTACCCCATGGATCGACAACATTCCAATCCCATTGGCCTTATCAACGCACTTCATTTGCGGGTGCGGACGAGCAGTATTCGTCAGGGCGTGTACGAACTGCCAATTCTACTTTCAATGACGAACGAAAATTCCAACAAATACACAAATCTATGGTACACTGATCGGAGTCACTTTTGAGCGCCAGTTAACTACAGACAGGGCACGAGCAGTGGAGGCTAGCTTGAATAGAACGAGTGTCTGTGTATTGGCGTTAAATGAGGCATGGAATAACGTAGACAACAGAGATGTGTTGATTGCAACCAGCACGTTTTGAGGTATTCCAGGAGCATCTCGGGTGCAGCAGTGATGGTGAAAATTAATTTATCGGTTGGTGGTAAGATCTGAATTCCATAATTTAATCAATTTCGTTCCAGTTGAATACAAAACTGTTATGGATGAAACGATAACATGGCGGTGAGTTTTGGGTTCATAGAATTGTTAATTGTGGACTCATTCGAATAGAATATTGTCACACATTGGAAGAAAAAGAAGACAATGGCAATTAAACTTATTTTGCTGACTCTTTCTCTGGAAAAAATGTCACGATTCATATCATTATATATTATGGAGTGAAAGCTAATGGCATACTGAGGAATAAGAAGAAACCGTTAAACATATCTCTCCATCTAAGGGTTGCACAGCTGCCGAAGTGACAACGCATAAAGTGGCTTCATATATTGATTTTCACTGCGTAGCTTCGCACTGTGTTCGTCTCTATGCTACCCTAATGCTTCCAAATCAAAGATAAATTGTCTGTTTCCTTCTTTATACACCCATTAACCTGTTCCTGTAGTACAATGTATACTGACCGCATAGGCAGACTTTTACCTGAACATGTCCGCAACTATTGCAGTGGCCAATCCCATCAATGGTTCGATCGTTGCACACCTAGTGGAGTCAAACCACGGGATTAACCTGGTCGAGGTATTTCGTCATCCCTATTTTGTTTGTAGCCGACAATATAAGGGAACTGGGAGTTGCCTCTTGACCATTTTTGAAGACGAAAATAACACAAACTACGTGTGTAGTTTCCCGTGCCCATACGGCGTGATAGCAAAGTGGAAAATGAAGAAAATGCTGTCCGACATTGGATGGTGACTGGAAAGAGAATAATCGTAAGATAAAACTGAAAAATTATGCGATAATGTGAAACTAATGCAGCTACTGACGGAGTAATGTGGCAAGTATTGAATAGTATAGCACAAGAAATTTTATGATGCAGAGCAAGGTAAATTAACGTGAGAATCAGAGAAAACAGTGGCGTGCTAAGTACATGCTTTGGGAGATATCATCATTTTGGAATTTCACTGCGTGTCAGTTGAAACGTAAGTTATCATCCAATGCTATTGAAGTGCAACGAGATCACATAAGAAACAATCAATTAACAGGAGAAGCCACGGTGTATAAAGGATGCCATCAAATCACAAACCCTAATGATTTCCATGTTACCGGGGAAAACAAGGCGATGGCTTGTGAAACGAGATTGCTGTCCAATCCGAAAGGTGTAAAAGACATTGACTTGATATCAAAATTGTGCTACGAATATTATCCTCAAGTACTAAATAATTATAAAGGTATCGTTTCTACAGAGTAGAAACCTCGATGTGAATACTTTATTCTGCCTGTTATGAACCAACAGTAGTGCAAATTTGCCCAAACTGTAGAGGTTAGAACCGCATGTGATTCTCACCGGTCATCACCAGATTGACCGAGCTGTGCGTTGCATTGTCGTTTGCTTACAGTCAATTTAACTTAGTCCTAGGGCAACGCGTCTAATTATTTCTGTACTCAATGCAAGGGGCAATTCATCCTGTAATGATGTATCTTACTTCTTGCATTTGTTCATTTATAGTCAATTCTTGTTGAGCAGAGGCTTTTTCAAGTAGTTCTACGCGTTGCTTGCTGGATTCCAGTTGGCTGGTGGTCGCATTCAATTGTTCGTCTCTCTTGGCCAATTCGATGCGAAGTTGAGCTGCCAGAGAAGACGTTTCGTTGCTGGCGTTCTGTGCCTCGGCTCGCAGTGCCTCTGAATGTTCCAATTGGCGTGTGAGTTGTTGCACCTGCATTTCCAGTTCTTCTACCTGTAAAGAAACAAGGACCAGAATCAGAATGCACTCTATTGTCATTGGTGCTCTTTTGGATTGCGGTTTTCGCTCTCTGTTTGTGTTGGTTGTTGAGGTGTTCTGAAACTGCGACGTGTACAAAGCTTAAAAGTGCATGATTAGTTTTGCCGTAATTATTTTATTATGAAAGACACTTAATAAATGAAGTTTAAGGTGGATTCCGTTGAGGCAGACTGTTACCCTAGGGCGCATTCTAACCGGTGTGTGGTACCGGAGGGACAATTCGGGAAAATCTCGTCGAAATCCACAGATTCGTTCAGATTGACTGAACTGCATTCATCGTTTTTATTGTGTACTGCAATTCGAGGCTGGAGCATACGGATTTATTCCGCAAATCATATCAGGGAAGAAAGCGAGGAATTGTGCGATAAATTAGCTACCGATTCTCAGTTTTTGCAGTTCCCTCGCTGGTGAACAGCTGTGAACTGCTTCGCTTAGTTTTTACAAACCACTCTATGCCTACCCACCATCCAAGTGATGCTTCATAGCTGCAAGATACGAGGCGATGGCAGTCGACATGATTGACATGATATTTCTATTTGACCAGAAATTCCGGTGATGACTCTCTGATCTTTTTACCGGCATAATCCACTCAAAACAAGACCACAAAAATGGCCGTTGATGGAAGGTGAGATAAAGAAAGACAGCCAATTGTTAAGAATCTCCGTTGTTCGATCGGTTTGAGATTTGTGTAAACACTGAAGGAGCAGAAAATTTGTAATCCTCAATCTTATACTTTCAACCTTCTAAGTGTCCATGATGCGCATGTTGCGGTCAGATCAGTTCAAGTAATTATTGAATTTACAGCCTGCAAAACCCGTAGTGTATTGAATAGATCAAAGTTTCGCGAAAACACATACGTATGACCAAAACTGATGCTTTGCTTAACAAGTTAACCTTTGACAATGGGCGTGTAAAGTTTAGTAAACAGGCCTGTTTTCAATAATTTTTACCTTGGTGCCTGTGTATGGTACAATGGGCCTCGTTATCTATATGCGATTTTTTTGAGCACCGAAGTTTAAAATGTGTGGATATGAAATGCTAGGAATAGATCATGTTTGTACCATGACTCAGAGAGGCTTACCAATTGGAGCATATCGCGCCCAATTTGTAAATGGAGGTCACGTCCCGGAGATGGTGTTAGGATGGAGTTCAGATCATGGGATTTAGTGCCCAAACACTTCGACATCCAGGTGTTGGATTAAATTGTCAAATAGCTAACTCTTCGGCTGTTGCAAGACAACCTTGACTAATTAATTTCAATGGGTTTTGCTACAATTTTTCCTATATTTAGTAATTATATACGCAGTATGGTTATCCGGTTTTCAAAAAAGGGTAAGGATCAGGAAGATCGCGTTGTATGAGCATAAACCGAAAGCGTAATGCTGTAGCGCCTGGTAGACGCCAGATCCTGCATAGAGAATGATTCATTCATAATAACACCGAACCCTTTAAATAAGGGCCATCCATCCGAGTTCATCAGTCTGTTCCATAATACCATAATTGTCCATTACTCCGCTAAGATGTATTTGAAAAACTTTAAACAAGTTCTTGTCAATAAGCGCTTTCTATCAACCCAAAATCATAAGTGCCTGAATCATTGTCGCTTACACAATGTGGTATTTCAAATCACAGTTTTCATTACTAATTGAAAGATAAAACAATCGATTCGTTCAAAGTAGTTTATTGATCAGATTGATCGATCTAATATCTCAACATTAAAATCGCTAACAATTGTCTCCGCATGCCACAGAAACTCAAGATAATATTAAAAATAGGTCACTTAGGAGAAATATACATGCAGTAATAAAACAATCTCTCAGTGGTGACCCGGTGGTAACGTCACCAATTATCACCCCGGAGGACGAGAGTTCGAATCCCACCACCACCGCCTGACTTTCCCCATTTGTGTGTTGTATGGCAGCCCTCTGATTGGCCGCTTCCCCCTTCCTGAAAATTGTATCTTTGTATATTCAATAAAAGGAAGTAAAATGAAAAAGAAACAGAAAGTAAGAAGTTGAAGTATCCATAATTACTGACCCACTCCCCCCGTGGCAGGGAAAGGCTCTGGAACAAACACCACACTTCGTTCACAAATCTAAGTGGGTCTGTGTTCCTTCTAGCTTTTGTGCAGGCATATACCTACCTACACCAGCAATCGACGCATTGTCTGATCGATTAAAGCTGAGTCTTTGAGTTTCAATTCACGTCTTCCTCCGTTCAGTAGAAAGTAACATTTACTTCCGCTAAGAAGATTAATCTCGAAGGCCTTTTTCCTTGTGATCCGAATGTGTAGAGCAGAGACAGTTCGCCTTACAAAAATTCTTCAGAACGAACGTAAGTATGAACCAAACCATCTCACAAGAGAATTCCCGACACTGGGTCATACTATGTCAATAATCTGACGTATGCGCCGGTCAGGAGATCAAACGGGCGGCAGCTTTCAGTGAAACGTGAATGATTTTTTGTGATATTCACTCAGAGTGAAAAGCTTCTTTTACGTTCTGTCTGTGACTATGTATATCTCAAAAAGCAAGCAGTTCGAATCAGTCAGTGACTTCAAAACAAACCATTGCTAAATGATGTCCTCAGTAGAGGGGAGAAGGGTGCTTACCGACATCTCGGTATTCTTCAATTGTGCCAGTGAATTTTTCACTTCAAGCTGGGTCTGGTCCAGCTCCATGCAACGTGCGCGTAACGCTTGTGTGAGTTCGTTGACCGTGTGACTCAGTCCCCGATTTTGTTCATTCGCATCTTTCAGCTGGGTCTGTAGTTCGCGCACAATTTCTCGCGTTTGTTCCAGTTGACGATGTTTTGTATCACATTCGGTTTGTACCTTTCGCAGTTCCTCTGCCTGCTGTTTCTTTCGAGTCTGATGTTTATGTGACGCGGATAGAGGGAGACAATGAGTGAGAAGCGACAAAGTGTAGCAAATCAAATTCACCCCCTCCCACACACACACACTCAATCCTTTCAAAAAAAAATGAACAGACAAACGTCTGCGAAATATTGTTTTAGTACTGCTCCAAGTTTCATCTGGAGGCCAGACAACAAGACAATTGTTAAAGAGAATAAAAGAACACCACCCTCGATGGTTAGCATACAGAGAAACGAGGACCGCGAGAAGTGTGATATGCCAACACCCACTAGAAGGTAATCACCAAGTGGACGTATGTCGAGCGTTCGGAACCGTTTATCGTATGCCACCGTTATCATCTAAATCCGTACGCTTTATCCTTCTGAGGCACTGCTGAAGCTATTGCGATTAAACTGTTTGGCCTCCCATAAGGCAATTAGAAGCGCTTCGTCCAGACATCATCTTTACCATGGCCAGTCGTCAAGCTACCAACCGGTGCGAGCGTGGTAACTGGAAGAACGTCGTAACTAAGGGGAAGCTCAATCAAATTGTTGACGCACGTAGCATTGCTTTGTCAATAGGCTAATTCAATCTACCGCGCACAGGATCAAACAATATTAAATGCTCTACCTATATAAATGTAAATGGCCAGTTGATGAATTTATCGAAAAGCAGCTTGTTCAACCTATCGGATTTGATTTTCATTTGAAACTGTTGCTAACCGGAAAGAAGAATATGTCCCATTGATGTGCCAGTCGCACCGCGGTATTACCTCAATGCACCATGTATTGAGAGAAATTATTTGACTGTTATTTCACTTCACTGTTGAGGAGCTATAATTTTTATTCTGCATTCCAAGGTTTTACTCCTTTTTCACAGATTAAGTCGTCAGTTACAATTCATTTGTCCTAATGATATTCCCCATTGTTGTTATCATGGACATCCGCTGACTTTTATCATCACATTTTCTATCACAGTTACTCGTGGGTAGTAGTTTGTGATAAATATTGCTTTGGACTGACCGTCATTCGGAATTCATCTTAACGCACAATTCTCAGTTCAGCCGTACACTCAGTAAATACCAAGTACGAGTTTCGCTCTCATCAGAGCTCATCAGTATTACATATAGAACGACCCCTCACATGGAAAGCATGCGAAGCACCACTTTACCACCGAGATGACTAAAATGATTAGTTCAATTTTTTCATGTCATATTCAATGGTTTCCAACTTATTTTGCATTATGAGTTTTACCATCTCACAGTACATTTGATCGAAGTTTTTCGACCCATGAGTTCTCATGTTCAAGCCACAACAGAGGCAGTCATTATCCGTCCCCAAAATTTCCTCTTGTGTGCTCCAAACAATTTGCACGAGCCAATAGGCTGTTGTGACCGAACCAGCTGTATGTAATAGGTCTCAAGCCTTTGAACAACTGATGATTACCTCTTGTTGAATTCTGTGTACGAAGTGGAAAACGATTAGAACTCGATTATGTGAATAATATTGTCCTCTTCCTTTCATCACAAACCCCATAGGTAATTAGCCATATGCCATATACCTCAGTAAGTTGGCTGGGTAATCCAGATATGAAAAGATCAGTGTTATTTTTATGGTCCAATAGTTTACTTGTTAGAGCACGCACTGAAAAAAGCTTGAGTTTGAATCCCACCAATGCCAGTGGAGTTAAATCTGCATAGTTGAAAAAAATGCATAATGTCTTGTGGAGTGCTCATCAAAAACCGGAACTGAGCAACCCAATCCATTTTTTGTCTTCATTGAGATCAAAACAACCTGATAAATGATTCCGACTAACAAAGTTGCGTCATGAATAGGCATTCATTGATTTGGATGAAATCTGGTAGACCTGCAGCTACTTGTTCAAAACTGATGGCATAGAGATAGTTGAAGGCACAACTAGAAGATGAAATAAATGAAAGGTCTATGCAAATTCATGAGCAGTAATACAAGATAGGTCTTTTAGTTTCTTGGTCATTACATTATTCAGGTTTAAAATTTGAAACGGTGTCTTTCAGTCGGTTGAAAACGGTGTTCCATTTGTGATCTGGTGAAATATTCAGCGTATGTATATTCTTTTAAATAATTTTACCGACTGAGCCTTTTCTCGGTCTGTGGGTACAATTTATTTTTTCGTAGTTTAGCGTAGTGTCATCCAATGACCAGTTGGACACCATTGCACAATGCGATATATGCCTTGAGTGAAAGCTCAAACTAGATGTTACTCATATTAGGAAATTTTCATCTTCCGCAGTCTCTCCAAATAATAGATGGTACAATGCACAACGAATATCATAGAGCAACCCGCCTCAGACTCCATCTGTATAATGAATCAGCCATTCGCAAAGAGTTAAGTCCTTGACTAAGTTTATAAGAAAAATGTGTAAATAACTTGAATAATGAATGCATATAAACACTAGTAGTTCGTCGAATGTAAACCATTTTCACATTTGTAGAAAACATAAAAACTCTAGAACTAAAAAAAGACAATCATGATCGTTAATAGGCAGTTAAATAAGCATACTGTGTCATAAGTGTCTAAAGGACAACTAATTAGTTATATTTTGAATATCCTGTGTCCATTCCGCTTTATAGGCTTAATTTTTTTTGGCTGACTACAACTGGAANATGGCATATGTAGATCGATATCAGTTCGTCTGTTACCAGTTTAGGCCTCGGTGACCGCCAATGCTCAATGCCACATCGGTTCAACTCAGCACGAACATAAAAGCACAAGCAAACGGTCTCCGTCTGCTCCCCCACCCAATTGCGTTTTGATGGCACTTGGGCTGTTTGAATATACCCCCAAATAACACCATGATCATACCGGCTTGTTCAGTACTCCAGGCGATGAATAATGTCGCAATCCAATCAATCCAGGTCTATTCAATTGGCTAAGAATGCCTTCTATTTGCTTCAGTCAAACACATTCTGTGCAAGTTTGACAGTTTAGCTACACGATCAATCGGGCTACCAGTGTTTGAATACAGATCACCGAACTGTAGGGAACGGCCACCCAACTTGAATTATACAAGCTTATAGGCCTGTTTGTAAAAGCGTGCCGGTCTCAACAATGGGTTGCAAAATGGGCTGTTGGGTTTTAAGCGCGACCCTAATGGAACTAGTATGTTGTTCGACGACGGTTATGTCCGTCTGGTAGTGCTGAACTGCTTTAAAAGGGTTCACCCGATTGTCCTTAGAAAGTCTTGCGTCCTCGGATAGGAGGAACGCTGTTTGCCCATTTGAGATTGAGTACCAGAGATGGAGTAAAGCTACCTAGCAATCTATAGTGACGATCTGACTGTTTGGCTACTTAAGGATCCTAGAGATACCGATGTATTACTGTGCTTGGTCACATTGCCCTCCCATCTGATCCACTCTGACTGGTGTTTTGTTCAAAAGTTGAAGTTCAAGTGCACTGAGACCAACAGATGAATGAGGTTGATCTTGTTAACTTGTCTTCATTTTGACATTCGATAACAGGTCATACCAAGAAAAGATAGCCCTGACTCGTCAGCATTATATATTGGATATGTGTAAGTAGAAGTCATCTGGGCGAAGATTTCAATTGTGGTCTTTTTCAAATGAAAGTGAATAAACGAATTTTTCTTCGTAAGGAAAAGTCAGTCACGCTATCCAATACTAATTCATTGACATTTCCTTGATGGCATTATTTAAGAACCTTGGCCATACATTTTCAGTTCCTCAAAATGTTTGAAACGTATAATGTGCACTTTTAAGTAAATACAGTCAGTCTCCTGCTATGTCGCACCACTGAGAAGTAGCATTTTCCAATATCTTCCCAATTTTTTGAAAACCCAAACCAACCGCATGATTAATGACGTAGTTTCTGACTATGCGATGTCGCACCCCTCAGTGTGCCGCAGTTCCTTATGAGTACTCACTTGGTCGTTGACCTATGGTCGGGACGACCATCCTGAAATGTCGTACTCAAGCAGTGGCGTTGCACCTAGTGTGACGCGTTCATGGCGCTGTTCCTTGTGAGGAAGTCAGGCCGATGTAAGAGAACGGAGACAGTGTCATTTGACGTCAAAATGTGCAAGCGCCAATCGATCAAAGAGGAGCAGAATGTGTTGGAAATACTAAAACAGCCAAGTGCAATTCAGAGAACCGTAGCCAAATCACTTGGAATTTCAAGGAAAACTGTCTACAGTGTTGTATCATATTGAACGGCTATTGAAGAATGTTTGAACGCTGGAGCATCTGAGGAAAGATGCCACCTAAAAATCAACGAAAAGTTCAAGGCAGTGAATGAGGCAACTTTGGCTTGGTTTACTGCTATATGAGAAAAGCACGAAGAGTTTCCAATGGTGGAGAGCATCGTATGTAAAAAGGCAATCCAGCTATCACAAAGATTGCATCATAATGAATTCAAGGCTTCCAAAGGTTGGTTTCGCTCTTGGTCAGACAGATATGGTATTCAATCGTACAAAGTAAGAAACAAGCAACTCATGTGCATTACTTTATAGGTCTGTGGGGAAAGTTTGGCGGTACTAAGTGATGCAGTGGAGGAGTTTCGAGTGGGGTTCCAGCAGTTGATACATGGATATACTGGCTGTGATATTTTCAGTGTAGATGAAACAGCTTTGTATTACAGGCAGCTCCCGGAAAGAACATTAAGTCTGAAAGGAAAGACAGTTTCTGGGTCCATAAATCCAAAGAGAGGGTCACTTTACTGCTTTGTGGGAGCATGAGTGGAGAAAAGTTATCACCGTTAGTGATTGGAAAGTTCCAAACTCGATAATGCCTCCGAGGTCTAGATAGAAAAGGTCTTCCACGCAGTTATAATTCTTCAAAGAACGCATGGATGACTTCTACAGTTGACTTCACAGTTGGCTGTCCGATTTCAACCACAAAATGATTTCTCAGAGGCGCTCTATTTTACTATTTATGGACAACGCACTTTGTCATAACCAAGCCGCAGTATTATCCAACGTCAAATTGGTACGGCTGCCTCCGAACTATTCTTTAATGTTACAACAAATGGATCAGGGCGCGTTTTGGTCTTTCAAATGCTCGTTTCGGAAACTGGAATATGTTTTGTCTTTGATCGAAGATGAGCAACTTATCAAAAAAGCCGAGGTGGACATTTTCATTGCTATGCATCTGGTCAAGAACGCTTGGGTATCTGTGCATCCGCACGTACTGATCAACGCTTTCATGTTCAAATTCACATTGATTCAGCCGGTGATGCAGCCACCAGAGTATAAATGCGATTTGATCGAGGACTTTACTCATTATGTGTCTATTGATAACCGTCTTTTGGAGAAGAAATCGCCTGTTTGGAATTCGATAATGAAGAACTGGGTTATTGAAAATTTTTGTTTCAAGTCTCTTTTTTAGTCATTAGATGAATTCGTTTCGAATTAAGCTTAGCGTCGCAAAGATAAATGTGAAGCCGTGAATGCGCCGGAAGCTATCTCAATCAGAGAGGCGAAGAAGTTATTGGATCAATTGAAGCTGTTTACCTTGGCTAATACTGGGAGTTTGGGTTGATTATTGGGGTTTACAATTGATTTAATCAGAGCGTTTGTTGATTTCCAAAGGAGAGCCAAGCTAAAACAACCAACGATTTTTTATTTTGCTAAAAATACATCTTTGTAATCTGCAAAGATTTTTATGCAATTGTGTAGGGCACTCGGATGTGCTCATTCTGCTGGCCGCGGTCATTCGGTCTATCGATGGACTCTGTTGCACTAACGTGCAAACGGGTGAACGATAATAGTGATTAACTGGTAACTGGGTCAGTGGAGTGAGATGTCCGATTCGAGCGATCAATAACCAACGCCGCGCGGACGCGGCTGTGAATGAATGAACAATACTCTCACTTGTCCTAGAACACCGATGAAATTAGACAGGTCACTTGCCAAAGGTCATCGTAACCCGGGTCTAAGGAGAGACGCACTTTACTTGAGCGTTGCCGTAATTCCTGTCGGCTGGTGTCTATGGCTTTCGGTACGCTGAACAGGATTGAATTTCTTCCAGATAAACTCCTGTCTCACGCCTGCCGGAAAATTTGAGCGAGAATCCGATTAAAAAATTAGTACATTTATCTTAGACGAGTCAGACGTTGGCCCAGTGTCTTCATCGCTTGGACTTTTTCATTCCGAATCTCCTACATGACGCATCCTTCCACAACTGATTCTCCTGTGATGATGCTCTAACAACACTTAAGCAGCATCCGATTAAGAACTTATCCTCCCCCTATACCGGCCTGAAAATCACACTATAAATCGGGTTCATTTAACGATCGGCCGGATAGGTCACCGCAACAAGAGACCTGGCACTTTCTCACCTAACCCGAGCCAGAAACCACATCTTGTCTACAACCGCGAGTCTTTGCAGACCCAGTGAACTTGGGCTGTACAGCAGGCGTACCTTCACTACACGGATGGACTGGACATGACAACAAGATCATCTCTAAAAGTACAAGACAATGTGAAACGATGGTGTAATCGGACAATCATACTATCCACATGGCAACATGACATCTTTAATTGATACTCGGACATCTTAGATTGAAAAAGGTATGGTTTATGAATCACGTTATGGCATCGCGTGTTGTATTTAGTCCGACCAACAACGGTCATGATGAATGCATCGATCAGTTTAAGTTTGCACTGGTAACAATAAAAGCGAGCGAACGAACAGACGTCTACAGACGCTAATGGTATACATTTTTCACTAGAAAATCATGAATAGATTGCACAGCGAACAATCATTTTGAATATGGGAAAGAAATAGTTGTTATGAGTATAACCCGTAACAGATATTTCACTCATTTTAGATGTTATTTCCTTCTCACCGTATTTGAACTAGTTCACCTTTGTTTCCCTTAAACGGTTTAACACTGATGTGATTATTATAGTTAAAACAGTTGTATACTATGGTGGACGTCATATGATCAATTCTGTGGTTAGCCCAACATTGCAACGGAATGGAGGAATATCTGGAATTAATATGGGATAATTGGGTCAGAAAAAGTTCTCCTGAAGAAAGGTAGATAGTCTCGGGATAACTAGACACAGAACTGAAAAGGGCTGAATACCGCATGCATTGTACCGATAGTACGCTGAGGGCATCATAAAAGATTTAAATTTCTTCGATACACAAAGGATACACAGCACGGCAGATCTAAATTCCTTTATAAATAAATGATTTGTAATTATAAACATTGGGAACTACTAATGGGATTAACCTACTTTTCATCGATCCGGTTTATTTTGTCACAAAACTGTCAACCGATTTTTATAGTATTTATTATCATCTACTACTGTTTACCCTGCTATGTCGCAGTTCCTGGAATTTATCCACTTTTTCGAATTCCTGTGGGGTCGGACATAGTAGGAGATTGACTGTAAATGATGTCGTTTTCGAACCATGTACGTACATACATGCATGCATAACTTCACTTGCCTTCACATCGCTGAGTTCTGTGGTCAGTTCCAGACACTGATTAGACTCACTACGGCACACCTGGTCCAGATGTTTTGTCTCTTCCGTAAGACGTTCCATTTCGGCATTTAGTCGTTTCACCTGTAATACATTGCACAAAATTTTAGTCCCATGATTATCAGCCATTTGCAACTATTCACGAGGCTCATAACCCCCGAAACTTGAACAAAAGCATACATTATTTTGTAATTTTTTTATAATGATTTAGGTCTTCTGTGATTGCTTTTTATCTACAGCAGAAATCTGCTTAAAGTAGCTGTATCGCACTGTCTGTGACTCGTCAGTAGTGTCCACAGTACTTTCTGTTGTTCACTCACAGATATCTGTTGTGAACAAATGCATTCAACTCATGGGGGATTATCAAGCTCCCAACTCATGAAACCCACACTAAATACCATCAGCAGTGCCTGGTACTCCTGAACAATCGAATGGACTAAACGTCCATGTTGGTGATTACATTTTTACTTTGGCTTTCTCCAGTACACTGTTAAGAAAAAAAATGAACTGAGTTTCGAGTGTGGGCAAGTTTTAAAGGCAAAAACTTAACAGTGAAGAGCTTTTTTCAAAAATATTGGGGACTTTGAATGAACGGGATCATTTGCAACTAGCCCCCAGCTTCGAACTCGCTTCAAAGACACATTGTCGGGGCACAGGCAATGAACCGCAATCACTAATCTACCTCTGCCAAACTAACAAGTAGTTTACTGTGCCGGTTTTTCTGAATGCGTAAGAACCCGTGTTCCATGCGATCAATCACTGACATCCTAGTTAGTGCCAATCAAAATTTAACGTTGTAATTAGTGGCTTACCTTCTCATTTGGACATGATAATACACGTAATTGTAGTGTAAAGTCAACCATGCATACGACCCAAGAACAGCTTACAATAATGATAGCCTTAATCTGCCCACTTGTCTGATATAAAAACGAAGACCAAATAAACACTGAAGAACAAAAAATGACCAGTGGAGATGACAGTGGCTGGATTGGAACACACAAAGTAGACGAGAGTCAGTGGAACGTGTTTACTACTTGGCTATCGTCTCCAGAACTCAACCAAACGTGATGGTATGGTGAACGACGTGGAAAATGGAAGTAGGTCATTGCTCCCTCGCGCGAAGATCTGCTAGTAGGTGTGAGGGTGTCTCCCTTTAAGGTTTTCACTTCATATTCAACGGGACCTACCGATTACATAACCCTATGATATGTTCATTTTCTTTACTGTGATTTTGCTTTTTGGTTATAAAATCAAATACAGCGAATTGCACTGAATACAGCTGATTCATTTCCCTGAATAGTGGAGCTAGACAACGCAGATTTACTCCAGAACCCCTTAGTTTTTTTAACTTTTCATGGTCACTGTTAAAGATGGATATCTTCCGGCGAGCAATTGAAACGACAACATTTAGTCTGAAGCAAAAGAACTTCCATTGAACATTGGCATCGAAAATCACCCTCAAACACATGCACACGTGCACACACACGTCTGTTCATTCAATTTTTGAACACAAAACATCCCGTCTCAGAAAAACCTCACATAAATCAACCCGTCATTTTCACACCTAAAGCAACCGATATAACCCCTGGTCTCAGTTAGTGAGGTGATCTTATCGAGACGAGTAGGCCATTTTACGGAAAAACATAAGTTTTCACAATGTAATCGAATAAAAATAATTTTGGTTGATAGTTCTTCCAACCGCCATGGACGTCCATTCCGGAAATGGAGTCTGGATGGTCACCAAAGATTGCTTATGTTCATTTCGGAATGTTTTCACTGGGCTTCTCTTGATTAAGTGATTAAGCTATACAAATTCAGTGCATCTCATTTCAAATTTGTGAAAGTAATGTTAATCTTTTACCACCCAGCAATATATGCTTTTGATGGAATGAAATCAACTGGTACATGTTTGGAATAAATGTTCCTCTTTGTGTGACAAAATTAAACTGGCAATGATATTTGTATTCTACTATATTTTTAGGGGTACTGTTTACCTCAAAACATTTTATTGCTTAAAATTAGAAATCAGTTTTAGTATTCAGTCTTTTAGGATTTGGGAATGTTTTGCCCTAAAAATGAACATAGAACAGTAGCTATTTTAGACCGTCAAATATACAAAATCATATATTCACGAACTACGATATGAATAACTCTGGGATAATTGAACAAAGGGTACTGAGTACTCAAAGCTGACTAGAAGCAACAGTTATAATACCAACTGTTTCTGACGGGCTTTACTTAGTCATTCGTGACATTCATTAACAATATTTAATTCGTTTTGTAGACCAGTATTGCCACTTCGATTGTCAGTTTATTCCGTCTGATGTAAACATTTACTTCAATGAAGGCCATATATCGTTGTTGGGGGGTAGTTTTACCATAGATCTTGGTGTTTGGGGACTTCATCAAATTCGTATTCGTGATGTTGCCCAGCAGGGTTACGAATTGTCTGCAAAGAACACTTTCAGTTCGGTGAACTCTCCAACACCAATATCTTCGTCGCGAGCTACATTCATTCAATACCATTGACAGGGATTTTTCGGTTGGGTAACAGTGCATGTACTTTACTAATGCAAATTGTGTAACTTGCTTCATCGTCTGGTGTCTGATGTGTGATTCGGAATTCATGCAGCTCCTGTTTTAGTCGTTTATCTTGTGCCTGAAGTTCATCTCGTTCGCGAGTCACCCGTTTCAATTGGTCTGTAACAGACTGCAGTTCCTTGGAAAGCTCTTGCACTTTTTTTGAACCAGCTTCCAACGTTGAATGAACACGACGCATTTCGCTGTTTAAACGATTGATACACACTTCAGCTTGTTCTACCTGAATATAAAAAAAGAACGTTTCAAAGTAAAAGGGAGGAGGTATTTATGCCTACAGCCTTTATTTATAATCTATCGCACTGCATCGTTCGTTATA